ATTTAATTCCTTTTCATAGTTAGAGACGGGTATTTTAAGTGTTTTAAGGATAGAATTTACCTTCTTGATCAACTGATCACATTCGTTGATTTGTTCTCCAACCGGTTTCACTGTGAAGAATCTATCTTCCCTCTCTTTCGCTTCATCATACTTGTTATAAGTAGTGTAACCTCTCATTTGTGACACACCAGCTGTCACCATCAGACACTTTCCACCAAAATCTGAACCTTCTTCCTTCGCAACAAACTCCCTGCCATGAGTAGGCTTGCGAACTTCCTCGTCTTCCGAGTCAGTACAGCATACCTCTACTCCAGCGAACTCGTTTTCTTCAGTATTTTCCTACACAATTAACACAAGCATGGATTTATCGTTAGACTTCTTCTTCTTGGCTTCTTCAAGCTTACGCATGTAGTAATCTTCATCGTCTTCACCCTCTTTCTTCTCATTCATTCTCCTTAGCATGCATTCCTTCGCTAGATGGTTTTTTCCATGACAATAATTACAATCATAGCCTGAGTCACCCACAAGTTTGCTCTCCTTCTTCTCTTCTTCTTCTTGAGGAGTGCTTTTGAACTCTTCTTTCGCTTTCTCCGAGCTGTAGCTTCCCTACCAGTTTCGGTTCTTGGCGGTAGGGAACTTCCTTTTAGCGAACCATTTGGGGTTAGACACCATCAATGCATATTATTCATTAGTCAAATCACATTCAGAAAGATCTGACTCTGCTTCTTCTTCCACTGAATTCTTACCCTTTGAGATAAGAGCCAATGATCCCATTCTGGAGACTACCTTCGTTTCCTTTGTCACAACACTTTCATGTGACTTAAGAATTCCTACGAGCTTCGCCAACGAGTAGGTTTTGAATTGTTCATGAGCTTTAACAGTTGAAACCACCGCCATCCATTCTGGTCTTAGGCCATTCATAAATGTGACATTCTGCTCGATCACCTCTCTGCCGATTTTGTGCTTAATCATCTTACTAAGAAGATGGTTATAACGATTGAATGTTTGAATGAGACTTTCATCTGGCTTTTGCTTGAAGTCGCCAAACTCCGAAAGTAGAAGAATTTGAATGGAATATTCGAGATCTTCATCGGTGGAATATAACTCCTTAAGCCTATCCCATATCTCCTTTGCAGTGGTACACAAACTCACGAGAGGAAAAGTGTCAGATTGTAAAGCGAATCTAATCATCCTCATAGCTTTTATGTTGCTAATCAGTTTGTCTTGCTCATCTTGTGGGACATCCTTCACATTGATCCTAAGCTGATTGTACTCTTTCTGTGTCTTTATGGTTCTATTGGTTCCAGAGTGAGTGAAGGGACCCAATGTTATAGCCTCCCAGATCAAGTACCCGTTGTCTTCTGAGCCAAGAACATAATCTTCAAAGTGAAGAGCCTAGACCTCATACTCATGAGTATACAAAATCGGAATCCTTATAGTCGAACCAATGCTGTTGGAGATGTTGATGGGATTCGTTTGAGAGTCGTTGTGATACATGATGACTTGATTTGCTTACCTATCTAGAATCAGACTTGTAAAACGGTATTAGGGTAGTATTGAGACTGATGAACAACGTCAATGAAGTAATGACGGCTCAACAGATTCAATAAAAGCGAAAACCCTAGCGATATTCTTCAAACAGAAGAGATGCGTATGATTTACACAGCCTCCTGCTCTGATACCAATTGATGAGATTAAAAACCTTTAGATCGATGAATTCTTAGACAGATCAATCAAGAACACAAAGTAAATATGAACACAAGATTAATCAATACTTATGTCGAATGATTAAAAGCCACACCTCAGAAGAACTCTATGAAGAATTTCTACTGCAGAGGTGTGGTAGGGTTACAATGATAAAATCAGCAAATAACTAACATACAGTGCATGCATGCACTACATATAGTAAACCCTAATAAATGAAACACGGCTGGACAGGCCCAATACCATGAGGACAATGGACTTAGACCAAAAGCCCAATGACGCAACACTTCTTAAGCTAACAATACCCTAAGAAGGATTATTGGTTTTGGACTAAGTGTTATTTGGTATTGATAGCTCGGGGAGCCGAAGGATTAGCAGTTCGGGAATTGCCAGTTAGCAGCCATAGGATTATCTGCAAGTCTTCAAAAGTGCAAGGTGAGTCTCATCACTGTTTGTATGGGTCTACGGCCACAATGTCGGCCTATTTAGTTTATGTATGGTAGGAAGACCTGGGGGTTAGCCCTAGGCACTCTGTATGAAAGACCAGGGGGTGGCTCCTGGCACACAATATGTTATTATGTATGATAGAAAGACCTGGTGGTTAGCCCTAGGCACTCTGTATGAAAGACCAGGGGGTGGCTCCTGACACACAGTATGTTATTATGTATGATAGGAAGACCCGGGGGTTAGCCCTAGGCACTCAGTATGAAAGACCAGGGCGTGGCTCCTGGAACACTGTATGCTCATTAGCTAAGTAGAGTAGTATGTATGCTAGTTGTCTTTGTGATACTTGCATGGAAGACCAGGAGGCAGCTCTTCACACTTGTCTGTAAGACCCACGGGGTGGCCCCCGACTTGCCAATAAAGACCACGTGGCGGCCCGTGGCATAATTGCAAGACTATGTGCCGCACATAGCACCTTATTTGATATATGATTGATATGTATGGCTCACAGTATGTATGGCATGTATGGCCCAGTTGATATGTATGGTATGTGGTATTTGGGGAACTTACTAAGCTTCGTGCTTACGGTTTATAGTTTTGGTTTTAGGTACCTTCAGTTTTCAGATAAGGAGCTCGAGACGATTGCATTGCATTCACCCATATTATTCCGCATTACATGATCTGTGGGATTAGACTCTGATATTTATTTTAAATGAAATGTTTCAATGTTCGGAACGAAGTTGTTAAGTGTTTTTCTATATATAAAAATGATATTTTTGATCTTGAATTTTGGGATGTCACATTTTGCATACAAACTCTATTTTGGACGTCCTTTATATTTTTGGATTTAGGGGAACACGTACTATGAGTCTAGAATAATTGCTTCGCTCAAAACTGATTGTTACGAATTTTCAGTTTTTAGACGTAGTAAAAAGGTTACATTTTTTGCTATTTGATTCGTTTGAGATTTTATACATTTGGAAGTATGATATCATCATGTATCATATTATAGTTGAAATGAAATTATTTATTTTACTTAAGATGCACTAAAACTCAATAAGTCAAGTTACAACGTGATTCGCGGTGAATTAGCCGTCTACAATATTAGCCATAAATTATGGGATGTCAGATAAAAACATCCTCAAGTATCTGCGGAGGATGAAGGCCATGCTTCTTGTACTTGGTGGCAGTGATACAATGAGAGTGAGTGGATACAGTGACTCCGGATTTCAGACGTATAGAGACAACTTTCATTCTCAATCAGGTTGGGTGTTCACTCTGAACGGTGGAGTAGTAACTTGGAAGAGTTCCAAGCAAGACACGGTGGCTAATTCATCCTGTGAATCAGAGTACATAGCTACAAGTGAAGCATCAAAGGAAGCGGCTTGGCTGAGGAACTTTATCGGTGACCTTGGAGTCGTCCCGACCATTCAGGAGTCGATGGAACTTTTCTGTGATAATGAGGAGCAGTTGCCTTGACTAAGGAACCAAGAGATCACGGAAGGTCAAGACATATCGACAGAAAGTACCATTACATCAGACATAGGTTAGAAGAAGGTCACCTCATCGTGAAGAGGGTATCATCAGAAGAGAATCCTACAGATTATTTGACAAAGGCTCTGAGTAGGGTCAAGCACAATAAACATGCTAGGAGAATTGGTCTGAGAGATGACATTAGTTTTAGTAGTTAGATAGTTAGTTTGAATCTTGTAACAAAGTAAATATAATTGACTTTTGGGGATTAAATAATAGAGAATTATTTACGATTTTATGTACTACCTTTTGTTAATTGTTTATTCTTGTGTTTCATTTTTCATTTTTTACTTCCCGAATAATATGATTATTCAAATTCCATAGTCGGTCATACTTTTGGAAGTAAGTAGCGAATTATGACTGTCATGAACTGGATTGTAGATTGTCTAAGGGTATTAGGCATAGCAATAGTGTTGATGTAATGTTCATGAGTACTAAAAAATGGAGATTTAAGTATTGGATAAACCCACGCTTAGAGAATTACTTCATGGAATTTATCACGAGTAATTTTGAGACGATAGTATCTTATGATCTTGAAACAGAGATATATGAGTTGTAATTTACAAGTTAGTTGTACAGTAGTAATGCAGAAGTGCATCATTAACTTGATGCTATAAAACGTATTTTCATGCATGATTTGATGAGTAAAGGATGCAAGAATATGAGTCAAAGTTTATGCATTCATTTTGCCCTAACGGGAAAAACGATATCTTTGGGCCTCTCGGAAATTTGCTGTTGACTTATAGTGTTGGGCCCAACCGTGACTAAATTGATGTGTTCGATTAGAATTCCTATGTCATCACAAATCAGAAATCGGGAAACAAAGTTGTGACAACCGTCAAAATTTGAGACAGTTCTAGATTTGAATAAACTTAGTTGCTGTAACATCCCGTTTAAAATAGAATAATTAAATAATAAACCCAGGACCCCGATAAATAATTTTATTATTATTTTATATTATTATAGTCCAAGATCAAATAATATTAAGTGGGGTGTTGGCTTTGGGAAGCCAAATGACAAGATTTGAATCTCCAGGGGTTAAAGTGTAATTTCAGGACTTATTTTGTAAAGATTTTTAGTGGTCAGGGGGTATTTAGTATTATTTGGACTTAATATGTAAGGATTTATAGAAGCAATGGTTAAAGAGTAAATTATGTACCTAAGTTGAAATGAATTTGTCAAGCAGGGGCTGCTTGGTAAATATTTCGGACTTGGTTTGTAAGGATTTTCAGAAGGAGGGGTTTAAATGGTAAATTAAAGATTTATTTTGAAAGAAATGGCGGTTGGAGGGACTATTTTAGTTATTCTGGAAACAAGTTATGGGGGAGCGGGGTATATCAACCCGTCACCCCCGGTTCTAAACCGTAACCCTAACAAGAGAGGCAGCCGCCACCCTCCTTCTTCACTTCCGGTAGCTGCCAACCTCTTGACACCTTAGTGGACCATCGAAGCCTTTGAGGTCATCGCCGATGAAGGAACGAGTTGAGCCGATACCGTGACTGTGAAGTCGGTCGGAAGAAGCAAAGTTGTGATTGCCACTGCTGCTGTTTGCAAAGTCGGGGTCGTAATCTTTTCTTCTCCCTATTCTTCTGTTGCAGTGACGTCACCGGACCACCGCACCCCCACTGTTGAAGCCGAGAATCACCAAGCTGACGCTGCCATTGCTCCCGTTGCTACTAACGACGACGAACCTCCTCATCTCCTCATTTCTCTCCATATGACTACGTCACCGCTGCCGTCTGGAGGTCTCTCAACACCACTGACGCCCTACGTCCGCCGCATGCCGCCATGACATGGTTGTCGGGTTTGTGGTTTGCTATGCGACTGCGTGTGGGAGTGGGTTCTGTCGAAATAAAGTGGTGAAGAACCACCATGGCAGCCGGCCATGGTGGCTGTCGCCGATAATGAAGCTGTTGCCATTAACCGATGCTGCTGTCGCCTAGCTCAGCCACTGCCACCGCCTTTGTACGCCACTCGGTGGGTGGCTGGGTCTATTTCACAAACAGAAGTGTTTTTGGGTGTGTTCCATTGTTAGGGTGTGTTATGTGTGGGTTGTGTAATCTGGATTCAAAAGTGAGCCACCACCACCACCGTGAGGTGGTGGCTAGCACCTCCGACCACCGCCTGCCGCCATAGGGCGGTTGTGTGTGTTATTGGGATTTGTGTTGTAAATTGTAATCAGAATAGGAATAATAAAATGAAAAGAAACTCATAACCACCACCGTGAGGTGGTGGCTGCCGCCACCAACCGTCGTGTTGGGTGGCGGTGTGCCTTGTTTGCGTTTTGACTCGTTTGGGATGCTTGGACAGAATGGGCCAAATGAAACCCTAATGGGCCCAATGAAGCCCTAATTGACCTGAAAGCCCAATCATGTGACTAATGGGCTAGTATTGGGTTGGAAACCTTAATTAGGGTTTGGAAAACCCTAATGTCATGAAACCCTAATTTTGGGATTTATCGGGACCGCATGAGAATTATTTATTAAACATTAAAATATTAATTAATAATCATATGTGATTAACCTAAGTCAATATTAGACTTAATGGATTAAGTCCTTAATGGGTTAAGTAGGAACACTAAACCCTAATCGTTATTTAATGTAAAAACCCTAATTTCACTTGGGCCTTGAGTTGGGCCTTTCTTTTGGGCTTTGGTGATTGGGCTATTGATGGGCTTTCCAAGAACAAGTAAATAGACTAAAATATTTGGATGGGCTTTAAGGTAAGGCCCATGTGAAGGGTTGGGCCCAATTTGGAAAATTGGGCCATATGTTGGGCTTTGGCCCATTACTTGACTTTTGGGCCTTTGGAGTGTGAGTTGGACCTTGGGCTTGGAACAAATTATTAATTAGGTATTGTTTGATGTTGACAGTTTCGTAAACTGTCAACCAGCAGGTGGAGTTTTATCTGCGGGACTTCAGCAGTGCCAGGTGAGTTATCCTCACTATATCAACAGGGTCTAAGGCACCAATGCCGGCCCTTTTCGGATTTGTATCTGGCTCATTGCATGTTATGCTTATTGATTTACATCCTGGTAATTAGGATGGTGATATGCTTAGTGACCTGGTTAGGTCGATATCCTGGTACATAGGATGATGCTAGTTTTAGTGACCTGGTTAGGTCGGTATCCTGGTATATAGGATGATGCTATGCTAGCGACCGGTTAGGTCTGTATCCTGGTTATAGGATGTTGTTATGATTGATGATCTGTTCGATCGGTTTGACTGTTATATATATGTTAGCGTATGATATTTATGTGACATGTTTGTTTGATTTGGGGGTTGGGTTGAGGCGGTCCTGCTGTGTGCTGAAGGCCAACATACCCAGGGCGGTCCGGATAGACTACAGGCCCAGGAGGTCATGTCAGTCACACTGAAGGCCCGACGAGCGGTCGTGATAGGCTGTAGGCCCTGGGAGGTGGTCCAGACGTGCCGAAGGCTCAGAGAGCGGTCCAGATAGGCTGAAGGCCTGCGAGGCGGTCCATTCAGGCTAAAGGCTCATTATGCATGTTGTTTGCTTATATGTTATATAATATGGTTATATCGGCATGGCGTTGGTATTTTGGGTGTAACTCACTAAGACTTCGAGCTTACATTTATCGATTATTGTTTCAGGTACTTCTGATGATCGTGGGAAGGCGAAGGCGTGATCGTGCACCTCCTTATATTTTCATGATTTTATTATGGGTATACTCTGATGTCTAAACTATTTTGAAAACAAATTGTAATAACTTAATGGTTTTAAATGTTTTAAAAAGTTTTAAATTGTCTTGAATTTTATGGATGTTACAAGTTGGTATCAGAGCCTTGGTTTTAGTGAATTTGAGGAACACTCGTGTGAATCCAGTCTCAAATAAAGGAAAGGATTTTCAAAATAACTTTTAAATGGTTTTTCCAAAATAATAAAGGAGGATGCAAGTGTACGATCAACCGTAGCGCGCGGATAGACCCCAAAGTACCTTACGGATTATTTGGTTTTGTGATATGTTAGAACAGCATGGTAGTACTAGGCTAGGGATCTTCAGGAATTACATGATAGAATTGCCTGATTATATGATGCCTGTTAGCCTAGGGTTTTCTTATTTGAAATTGACATCATGACTGTAGTTGCTTAGTGTATGTATCACGATCGTACATAATTAAGATCGTATAGCCTGAGAATGTTTGGTTTGGCCTTATTTCCTGTTCTTGTTTGATGAAGGGCTTAGGGTAGGATCAGGTATTCGAAAGTCTATAGGGTCCAACGTTATGTATGGTTAGCATACACGAGTGCTACAGGGTTGGTGGAAGTTTCATGGGTGGGTTGTGTGAGGCCGGTAGGCCGGTTATGAGATATTTAACATTCCTCTAGGAGTGAGCATTGAGCGCTCGCTATGTTTATGTATATTGTTAGGGTGTTGTGGTGATACTTGAGACAAATATGGGTGTTGGAACCTGAAAGTGAACCTCTAGCAATCCTAAGTCCAAGTAATAATTCTGAAGTCAGCATCATGTTCCGAAGTGAAGAGCAGTCCGGAAGCTGTCCGGACATGAAGAGAAGTTGATCAGAACTTCATGAGTGAAGACATTCCATAATGGACTTAATGTCCGGAGTGTGTGGTGATCAGGAGAATATATTTTGTCTTTTTCTGTATTAATTACTTTTGTCTCGTAGCTTGATTAGACATTTCATAGGACTTAGTATGGTTGTCATCTTGGACAATCAGAATGTAAGAATTGTTCCTTTTATCCTGTCCTATGTATGTTTAGTGGTTTGTACTATGTTTAACTTACTCCTATTTAAAGGAGCTTTCAATGCAATACTATGAGACAGATCATTCACTCACTTTTGGCATTTACCAAGTTATTTCAACTGTTTCAAAAAAAATCTTCTTGTTCCTCATTTATTAACCTTACTTTGATCTTTATTCTCATTCTTCATTTATGACTTGATCATTTGTTGAATATATTAACTTAGACTTGACTGGTCTATCCAGGCTTGACTAGAACATTTATTAGCAAGCAGACATTGATCTTAAGCATTCACTCAAGGTTTGAGTTCTCAAACCTTGTCCCTGCGCATCAGATCTATTTTGTTCTCTCAATTGGTATCAGAGCTTGAGTGGTTGTCCTTTGACTCCATAAGATCATATTATAGTTGGTTTGAAATTACCTTGGTACTTCAACCATTTCTGTGTTAAGGATAAAATTTCTTCTATATACCACTTTTTCTTGAAGATATCTTAACTTCAATGGCTGCTTCTAATCCTCAACAAATGATTTCAATGCAAATCGCAAATAGTGTGGGTGGCCCTACACGTGCCCCATTGCTAGTTGTAGAAGAATATGATCACTGGAAAGTTAGAATGGAAAGATTTTTTACTAGCTAAAGAGAAAGGTGAAGAGATTTGGAGATCCGTCAAAGACGGTCCTCATGTTCCTGTAAGAACAGTTGTAAGAGATGATGTTGCTCAGGTTATGCATGAAGATGAAACTCGCCTAGCTCCTCTAACTGCAGATGATATCGAGAAGTTGCATGCGGATCAAGTTGCTTTCTCAAAAATGGTGTTTGCTGTTCCTCCTTCACTCTTTGAGCACATTAAATTGTGCAAATCAGCAAAAGAGATTTGGGACACGCTTGAGGACCTAATCGAAGGTTCCGAAAATATGAAAGACAAGCGTCATACCTCAGTTGTCAATGATTTTGACACCTTCACTACCACTCCAGGTGAGTCAGTGGCCTCAGCTTCAAACCGTTACCGAATCGTTGTTAACAGCATGACTGCCCATGGGATTGTCCGAACTCCTTTGGAGTACAATCTCAAATTCATAAACAGTCTCGACAAAGGATGGGGAAATGTCAAATCTTGTCTCCAAAGTAATGGTTCGTTGAAAAACTTAAAGCTCTATCAACTTTTTGATGAACTTCAAGGACACGAGTCTAATGTTGCTCAAACCATAAGGGAACTCTCTGGAGGCCCTCTTGCTCTTGTCAGTTCTTTCGAACTAACCATTCTGAACTTGCCTACTTCGGACCCTTTCAAATCCATTACTCCATCTGTTCAACCTTCTGCACCCATCTTACATACACATCCCGTTGATGAATCTGAAGCCGTGGACTCCGAACTCCGTTTCAAACAGGAATTTGCTCTACTCTCCATGAAATACAAACGTCCTTTCAATCCCTCTTACAAACCATACCAAAACCGTTTCCATGCTCCTCATCAAAAAAATCCTCAAACATACTCAGCTCCGGAACCACAACTAACTCCGTAAAATCCTCTTGCATACAAACCGAACATCACTAAGCCAAACTCTACTCCGGAACCTTCTTAGAGTTCCAAATCGGACAAACCAAAAATTGTCTGTCATAAGTGTGGACATGCAAACCATTTTGCTAAAGATTGCCTGGCTGATGCTCCGCAAAAATCAAAGATCAAGGATTCTGCTTACTATGTCCGAAAAGCTCAAGAGATGGCTGAAAGTGAAAAAGCCTTTCTAACAACTATATCAAGAGATGTTGAAGGATATTGGTCATCCGGAGATGATGTTGATGTGGTAACTGGAAGAAACACGTGCTTGATGGCAAGGCAATCCGTTGAATGTGAAGAAGGCTATTGGTCCTCCGGTTCTGAAGATGAAGATGATGTTGCTGAACCACACTACTGCTATATGGCCACCAATGATCCACCCGGTCGAAGCATCGTTCAACAGGTAAAAAATCTATGATTACTGACAATAATTTTGATCTATCTCTTTGTGAACCCTATCTGACCCAAATCCAAACAGATATGAGCACCATTTATAAAGCCTA